TGCTGAAAGTCCATCTGGAAGCCTACCAAGTGACACCATTGTCAATCCCAAGGGCAATGATCAAGAGCAAGCAAAGGCTATCACTCTCAGAAGTGGAAAACTCCTTACGTGAAAGAGTCATTTCCTTAATTAGAATTAGTCGAACTATATCTGTTCACCCTAATCTCATTAGTTTTGCATGAAAGAGTCATTTCCTTAATCTAAAAAACAATGAGATTAGGGTTATTCAATTTAGTTAAAACTCCTTACGTGTCTTCTGTCGAGAAGACAGTTGGTACAAAATTGAACCTCCAGACAAGAAGAAACTACGGCGCTGGTTAAGAGAGCCTATGACAAGTAAGTAAAACCTAATTAATGAAGAAGAGAACAACAAAATTTGTAGTTCATTAGCTAGTTCATACAATTGACTACCACACTCTAAATTGCAAAAAATTGACAGAAGGAGACCATTGAAGCCCGAACACAATGATTCAAAAGAACAAGACACAATCTTACCTGTTATGTCTTTAAGACATTTTGACTTGTCATAGGTTTTATCAGAGTTTTTCTTATCAAAAAAATGATTCTGAAAAGAGAGTGGACAGAAATATTGCTCGTTTGAGGGAATGGACAGAAATATCTTTTTTCGATTTTTCAAATCCGAGTTAGCAAACAAATCAGATTTTAAAAATCCAGTATACTGTAAATAAAAAAACTAAGTATATTACTCGGATTAACAGAAAGTCGGATTTTTGAAATTCGAGTATAAGAAATAAAATAATATTTTCGGGAGAAAAAAGCATAAGTTTTTTGTCGAAAAAAGAAAATTGACCAAACTTGGATTCTAAGAATCCGAATATAACCATAACTCGGGAATGCAAAGTCCGAATTTCTAGTACAAAGTCAATGCCTTCTAGCCGACATCGTATGTATCAAAAAGCTTGGTCTCGAGATAAATTATTATTCGATTATTGGAGAAGGTATTATTTGAGTAGATACGTCTTCTCGAACACTTCAAGTAGTAGTAATGTGCTCGAGGGATGGTTGCCCCTTCGAGGAGATGTATCTCTCGAAACTTCAATTTCAGAGATTGCCCCTTGCCTCGTGCTTAAGAGAGTTAATCGATGGCATTCTCATTGGCTAGAAGGCATTGACATGGAAGTCGGCAAAACTGTTGTCGACTTGATCGTCGATGGGAGAGAGTTGACGCAGAAATCGACGATTGTCAATTTGCATGATTTTCAATTCTTGATTTTGACCTTTGCAGACATGGATTTGCAGATCATGTCAACCCGATTATCACCATGAAGAACCAACAAATTTTGGCTTTTTAAGAAATTTATTTGGTTGTGAAGATCAAATGAATCGGTCCCACTGGGCGTACCACTTGACGGAACTTGGATAGTACGGTGCCTTGGGACAGGCGGAGATGATGATCTAGGCACTGATGGACGGCCTAAAACCTGCAAGACAGAGCCTCGGGTGTCTCCTGACGGTAGACTCTCCGATGCTTAAGTCAATAAGGAATAGAGATAATAGAGAGAGAGAGAGAGAGAGCGGGGAAGTTGTGCGTGCATATGAGGTGTAGAAGATATGTAGAAGATATATATTATGAGATAGGTACCACCTCTTTATATAGAGGTGGTGTTACCTGTTGCCTAAGATCCTAGCGGAATAGGTTTAGGCGGCGGCTTAATCTCCAAGTAACCTAATGCTAGGCCCAATAAGCCTAGGGTTCAGTTTGGACTCGTCAAAAGAGTTTTAAAGCCAATTTTCAATCACTTTGATCCCTTTTTCTTCCTTCCACCAGAACCGAGAGTGAACCTAGACGTTGGTGGGCACTTTCTAGAACCCCTACGGATGTCTAGGGACTGTCTGTTGGAAGAAGCACGACGCGGAAGGCTCTCACCTCCCATGGTAAAATCTTTATCGACCTCATCTTCGTCCTCTTTGTTTGGAGTCGGATTTGGATGAATTATCAATGTCCTATCCGAATTTTTCTCCACCTGCCTCCTCCTTCCTCTTCCAATATCTTCTTTTGGGGCTTTTTTTCGTTGGAGCCACAAGAGATTAACTTTGAGATAGCGGTTTATCTTCCCAAATTTGACTCTCAGTCTCAAGGTTAAGATCATCAGGCGCCAAACTCAGGGCGGTGAAGCTGCAATCAAGTATCTTTTGAAGCTCATCATCAAGATCACCATCGAGCTCTGGATGTTGATGCAAGCAGTCTTTGGTGATGTGATAGATGTCGTTGAGAGTTTTGGACTCTGAAATTTGAATTATATATTCTTAGAATAGAAAATATAGGGAAAAAATAACAATTATAATAAAATAACATAAAATGAAATAAAATAAAATAAAATAAAAATCTTACATATAATCTCTCCCGAGTTGAAGACGACTGAAAATCCTGTGCCAAGCTCCAGTACAAGGTTGGATCACTGCTGAATTTAACGGTCCACTTCTGAAACCATGACATGTAATCTGATGTGCGCTGAGGACCTAAAATCAGATCCACTTGTTCATGTGGGACCATGTGATCTAGCCTATTATCCCAGTAAGGCGTTACCTCTCGAGGATACACCCTCCAGTCATCGTACGGTCTTCCAGTTTGAAGGTGGTCATGTCTACCTTCCAGACATCAACATTGGTTCCGATCAATGGGTCCACAAGCTTATGTTGTTTACAATGAAACTGTCGCAGAACCCGATTGGGCTCGTAAGGTTCTTTGGTGGACCAGAAAAAAAATCCAAGTCCTTACAAGGTAGACACGAGCCCCCTTTTTACAGAAATCAGAGAGTTTATCAAGGAAGCAAGTGTATGGCAACCACTCAGACTGCAAGATAAAAAACAATGGAAAAATTAAAAAAGAAATTGAAATCAAATATATAGTTTAACAAAAGAAAAAAAATTAAAGGAGAAATCAATAGCACATGTAACATCAAAACTTACATCACCATCTCTTAAGCTAGATAACTGATCTCTGAAGATAGAAACGAGATTCCTACTGACATTCTTATAGGTTTTCTTGCATTTCCATCTAAACAAAATAAAAATAAAAAATATCTGCTTTAGGAAATGAAAAAAAAATACCCAAAAATAACAAATTACGAAATTACAAATGGTTACCAATTGGCTAATGGAGCATCCAGATCCAAAATTTCTTCTTTAGGCAACCGCTTCGGCTGAACTCTATACGCTCTGAAGCCCATATCTGAAAAATGAACGAACAACATTAAAACTACTAATTTAGGATAATGAATGAAAATATAACCAAAAAAAATTAATTAATTAAATAAAATAGAAAATACATACCTGCAACAAAACAACACATCCGGTAATGTCATATTGGTTGAACTCGTATGCCTTACATGAGCGCAAGTATCCAAATCCTCTAAAAGGTTCAAATGGTATATATAATGGAATCTTGCTCCCGCTTTTGTCTGGGAACAAGAAAGATCCAAGCATAAAGAAAAGTAATGCTCGAGCCCTCTGTGTATAAGCTTCATCCGACGAATCTGGAGGGAGCTTACGATTGCACTCGTCCTCAAAGGGCTTAACCTTAACCTTATTCCCATCAATTTGTCCTGGAGAGGATGTAAATCCACACAATCTAAAATATAGAACCATCCACTACTCCTTAGTCAAACAAGGAGTCTTCCCCAACACGGTATCACCATCTACCCTAAGACCGAACAACACCTCAACATACGGTGGTCTCTCCAAAATAAAAGTGAAAAGTGAGCATTTCAGGTCGTCACCGCTCCACTAAAGCGGTGATCAAGCCACAACCTTAATGTTTCCTATTCTAATGACCCCATTAAAACCTGCTTGGCTGAATCTTATTCTTAAATTTCTCAAATAACAACTAAACTAAAACTTAAACCGTTATCTTCTTCAAAATCACATGTAGTCATGTACAACAACAATCAACAACTAAACAAAAACCTAAACCCTAAACACTTCTACACATTCACACTTATACAATCCTACACAAAATCTCAATGATTTAAACTAAAAAACACCAAAATAATCACTAACCTTCTTGTGAGATCGATTTAAGACATTGAGAGCCTAAACCCGTGTAGAAAATCCTCAAAACGCAACCCAAATCAACTGCACCGCGAGAAAACCCTTTTGTGAATGGTGGATTTCTTATCCCAATTTATACCCTGTAAAAAGCTCGGATTTATAGAATCCGAAATAAGTAAAACTCAGATTTCAAAAATTCCAAATTAAGAATAACTCGGATTTTTCAAATACGTGTTTCTTGCTTTTTATGCGCGGTCACTTTAAGTCAATTAAATGTAAATTTCTAACGGTAACTGAGTATTTATGAGAAGGTCAGATTTCCAACAATCTGAGGTTTTACTTTTCAAATATTCCCGCTCTTTCTTTTTTGCTTCTTTTAATTTTAAGAAGCTCGGATTTAGGAAATCGGAGTGTCACTGTTCATATATTGACCCCATTTTCTTTTCTTTTCATGCAATATTCAAAATTAAAATTAATATCATTTTTTTATTATTTCGGATTTTAGAAATCTGAATTACTAATTTAATCATAACTCGGATTTCACTAATCGAAGATGTGTATTTTTTGTCCTCTCCGTTTGAGGAGCAATATTCCAGTCAACTCCCGTATGCATTTTTTTGGTCAAACACCCAGTATTTCAGAGGCATTTTTTTGGTCAAACACCCGATTTCATCTAGTATGCATTTTTAATTGAAGAAAAAATATTAAAGATATATTTTCACAATTATTGTGTTCTTCTAATTGTTAGAAAATATTTTTAAGATTTTTTGTTTAATTAAAAATACGTAATCGGTGAAATTTATGACAAATCAAAATGCATTTTATATTAAGAACAGGAGGAAATATGTTAAAGGCCGATGATTTTACCAAAATAAAAAATAGCATCCAAAACAAATTTTCTTTCTATTGCCCAAAATACCCACTTCCTTCTTATTCTCTCCTCAATGATTAGACGCTAATCCATGATTTTTCTTCCATCTTCGATTGTTAATTACTTCTGAAACTTTTCTTCACTACCTTTATATATTCTCCTTAAAAATACTTCCACTCACTGAGTTCTCAAGTCAATATTCATTCTTTTCTTTCATACATGTTTTTTATCTCAAAAGAATAAAAAACAAAAAATCCTACCGAAAAAGAAAATCAGCATGGAGACATGCCTAATTTGCTTGGATAATGTTATGGTTTTATACCACAAATTTGATTTGTAAATATATATGTGTATGGGTAAAATTATCGGAAACGCTATCTAAATAAAAGAATTGCTTTTAGGATGCAAAACAACAATCATGTATGAATGTTTGAAGGAGACTAGATCTCCGTTCTCTGTTTGGTAGGAGTTAGAAATTCAAATCATTTTGGCATAATCCACATGCGGAAGAGACCCTTTGTTGTTTTTAGCATGCGTGGATCTACATCCATGACACAATGAGTTTTATAGCATCAACCTTTTGATTACTTAAATGATGGTATTGCCGGCGACTGTGTTTCCGTCGGATCTAAGTGGATAAACCAGAAATTAAAGCTGAAGAGATATTAAAGTGGTTGTTTAATTAATGAGAGTATTTTGGGTAGTAAGAAAAACAATTGTTTTGGATGCTATTTTTTGTTTGGGCAAAATCATCAACTTATGCTAAAAGGACACCTTTTGGTTGGATCTAAAAATTTTAATCACTACTTTTCTGACGTCATATTTCAGTCCCTTCCCGCTCTTCCCTTTCTCGCAAGTAGCAACACCGTGTCCGTGGCCAACAGGTCAAACTCTGGGCACGAAAGTGGTGATAAAGAGAAGGAATTAGCTGCGATTTTCACTCTGTGGCAATCATCATTTTAGCCTCGTTCAGAATCTGTAAGTTTGTCCTTTAAAATCTTTGGTATGGAATTTATGTAGGTTTACTTTCCTGATTGATTTCTCTCTCCCATACTGCCAGTTTTTGGTTAATTTTGCAATTCTACCGTTGATCAGTGATCACCCTCACTATTTTACTAGCGATCTGATTAATTTTTAATGTACTAGTTTCATTTCACAGTTCACACTGCGTTTAGGGTTTTTTTGGCTGAAAGAAAGCAGTTGACAGTTGTTGGATTATAGTTCTTGATTTTGGGTCAGAGGATGAGGTGTCTTTGACCTAATCATCAATTGTAATAACCATCAGCAGTTCAGCATAATTTAGGTTAAAATCCAGGTTTTTCTCTGCGAGTTGAAATTGTGTCCTGCTTTTTGAAAGACAGAGTGATTAACTGGTATTTGGGCCTCTGATGTCACTATGGGAATTGGGATGTTCTAATTTATTCCACACCATTAGTTCCTTTTAACAGCTGCAGGTTTATAATCTCCTGTGTGTCTCTACATATTTGGGCAATCAATGAGAGAGATGAATACAGGAATTTAAACCTTTAATGCATGTTTGAATAAAATTAAAAAAAATATCTGGATCACGAGTGTTTTAGGCTATGTTGGTTGCTTGATACACCTGTTTCAATGTACCTTTCCAGGTGCCGTGAACCTGTAAGATAGTCTATCCCAGGTGGCATTGACCAACTTCATACTCGCCGTAGCAGGAGTTAGTGCTGTGGTTCTGTTGATGAGGAGTGATGTCAGACAATCAGCTGCAATCTTGAGATGAAATGTTCGTCACATTCGTCATTGGCTTGAGTAAGAGTCTGCCTCTGATGTATAGTTTTCCCGTCACAGATGTTCATGCTAATCCTCCTCTGCAGTGGTTTGATTTTGGTTCTCTGAAGAAACGAATGATTTCTTTTTTTCCACCCAATGAGCCAATGACCAAATGAGAGCTTGTAGTTTCATTTTACATGTTCAACGTGGCATTGAATTATCCCATGTTTATACGTACTTTGAATTTCTGACATCATCAAAGAGCATGAATTTTTCAAGCAGTTTTGCTCTGACATATGATTAGAAGGCTGATTAGTTTGCAGAATGGTATTCCTGGATTAGTTGCGTGCTTAATATTGGATTAGTTTCCAGAACGATGTTCCTGGATTAGTTGTGTGCATAATGTCTGTTTAGTTTGCAGAAAGGCGTTCCTGCATTAGTTTTGTGCTTAATGTAAATATTTCAAATCAGCATGCTGAGTGGATAATTACCTCTGGAAACATGTAAGAAACACTGTTTCATTCTTCTGGTATTACGCTTTAGCATATGGAACCTTGAAGATGCAGTAGTTTATGGATGTGATTCATGTTGTCACGGTGTTGTTACAGAAATGGCCCTGACAGCGTGAACGATTTATCTTCTTTCACATTGGTGGAGATAAGAATAGTTCCACTAAAGATAATAAATATTGTGTATACCGTGATCATGTACACTAGCTATTCTATAAACTCTCCTCCTAGTTTCTCGATTTTCCGGGGCATTTTGTTGCTACTGTTTACTTTTTGCATAATCATTTTGATCCCATTGTTTTTATCTTAATTGTAGATAGAAAGAGATACCTGTAAAGGATATTCCAAAGGAGGAAAAGCAGTAGGTTGCTCCACAAAACCAGCAATCTTAAAGGTGACTGTAAATTTTATGAATTTCTTGCAGACATCGGGAGTAAACTTCAGTTTATTTATGCATTTCCGGTATGGTTTTCCTTTTTGAGATAGTTTAGTTTTGTTAAGTGATAATGGATTTTCCTCTGTAAGGAATAAATCACGGTAAAAGTTTCTGAAACACTGTCTTTTAGCCTCTTTCACATGGTTTTCATATTTTTATGCTTGGCTGCATCTGCTATCATCTTCTTTGTTTTTTCTTTTTTTTTTTTTTTCTTTTTTTCGCATTGAACGATAACTACTAGATAAGTTGCAGCCCACATTACGTGTGATATTGGAGTTTTGAGGATGGCCAAGGTATAGCAATAGCATTGTAACTGGGATTCGTTGATTTTAATCAAATGTCATGCCCTTGAGAGATTCATAGAAACAGTAGATATTTGACCAGAAATTAAGATAGGAAGAAGTAGAAAATTGGAAGGTGAGTTCAGATTTCAGGTCCCGTGAATACGAAATAGACTTAGCCTCATTACTCTAAATCATGTTAGGTGCTTGTGACGCGACTTGATTCCCACTCTTGTCTCTCCATTTCCAACTATTGCACCCAATTCTTTTTCATCACAACATCTACTAGATGTGTACTGTACAGCATCTCTCCATATTTTCTCAGAGGAAAGGTTGTGCCAGAAACTAGAAAGCTTAGGTTGTGAATACCTCTAAATTCTTAAAATAGGTATATTAATGGGCCAACGGCAATGGCATGAATTTGTGCTTCATAAAAACTGGTTGGTCCAAGAGCTAACGATGTGCCATGGTCAAATTGGCAACAGCGTGGTCCTTGGTTCCAATGTGTTTCTGAGTACCACCTGGCTCCAATCCTGCAACTCCATGTTGTTCTCCTTGAAGAAGTAAACCAGCCAAAGAAACGATGGTGATCTTTGCAAATTCTGGTTCGTGCATCGAACCAAGATGTTCTTTCAGCTCAGCTTTATAAATTCCACCACGGCACCAACAGCCCCTTCAAAGAACCATTTTTACCCACTCTCGTATAGCAATGAGCCTTTTGTGGAAACAGAATAATGTGGTAACGACTTCTGTATTCTCGCAGTCAGATTTTGTTAGTAGTTCTTAAAAAAAAAAAGAAAAAGAAAACCTATCTCCCCCTGTAAATGAGCTAAAAACAGAGCTGCAGTCAAAGCATGTATGATGATTAATACTTCAAGAATTGTAGCTTTTGTGTACTCCACAGATTTACCAAAGTGAAACATAAATGTTTCTATAAGTACTAAAACACGAAAACTTTCAGCGTGATGACCCAAGAAGCGGCTAAGAATGTTACAACGAAGTATTTTAAGTAATTTCGTGCTATGTGTACCCTCAATAGATGAGTCCTCTGTGTTCTCTCATTCAAATAAATATCACAGATGAGCCAAGTAGCTACAGCAGAAGAGTCATCAGCTCTGCGACGTTTCTATGTTAAAGAATCGCGAGAATATAATGGAAACTATTGACCAACAGATTCAGACGTGTTGAATCAAGTTTAGTACTAACAACAACAACTAGTATCATCGAAAGACCTTTAAATGCTGACGATTTCTCACAAAATTGAACACTTATTTAACTGACTACCACTACAAGTTTTGTCCATGAAGATTCAACAAAAGAGGCTAGAAGACTTGACCTCATCAGAGTGGGGGATCATATCTGAGTGCAAAAGAATCTTGGAAAGAACTTCCATTGCGAGCGTACAAAAAGGTTTACCGAGAAATGAATACCCAAATTCTAACTGATAAGAACTTAGAAATGTATAGAGATCTTGGCAGTCACTAATATTTTTTTTTATTTTTATATTTTGGTGACAATGCGTAATAAGATTTGTCAACATGTAACAAATGAGAACAAAGAATTTGAACCTAATATCTGTGATCTATTACGTGGAACCAAATAATTCAGTAAAATTCTTAAGAGTAAACCTCAAAACAAGTCATCAACCTTTAACATATTTCCACTTTAGGTCATCAATTAAATTATTTGTAACACAGGTTATCTTACTAAAGTTTTAATCTGTTTCAGATTATTCTGTTAATTTTGGCCGTTAAATAGTGACGGAAATCCATTTTTCACATGTTTTTGGGTTCAGGGGTATTTTCATCATTTTTTATTTTTTTATTTTTTAATCTTTTAAATTTTTTTTTTTACAATTCTTCTTTTTATACTTTCTAACTTGTATATACTGGTAGTATAATTATAAATTTTAAAAATTTATTTTCCTTTTCTATTTTAACTTCTAGATTATAAAATTTTTTTAGAAAAATTAAGAAATGAAGAAGAAAAATTCGAGTTAAAGTAAACATGAAAATTAATAATTTACCATTTTAAACAAAAAAAAAATTAAAATAATTATCTAAGACAAGTTGTTTCTTCTAGGTTATTTAAGTTTTTCAGCTCGATTGAATTATTTAATTATTAATTTTCACGTTTCTTATCCCTTTTTTTTTAATAATCTACAAGTTAATATAAAAATAACAAATTAATTTTCAAAAATGATTTTTTTTTTTGTCTTTTGTATCTTAACTTCTAGATTATAAAAAAAAAGGAATAAGAAACGTGAAAATTAATAGTTAGATAATTCAATCGAGTTGAAAAAAATTAAATAACCTAGAAGAAACAACTTGTCTTAGCTAATTCTTTTAGTTTTTCTTTTTGTTTAAAATGGTAAATTATTAATTTTCATGTTTACTTTAACTCGAATTTTTCTTCTTCATTTCTTAAATTTTTTTAAAAAAATTTTATAATCTAGAAGTTAAAATACAAAAGAAAAATAAATTTTTAAAATTTAGAATTTTACTACCAGTGTATACAAGTTAGGAAGTATAAGAAGAAGAATTGTAAAAAAAAATAAAAATTTAAAAGATCAAAAAATAATAAAATGACAAAAATATCCCTGAACCAAAAGCATGTGAAAAATAGATTTCCGTCACTATTTAACGGCCAAAATTAACAGAATAATCTGAAATGGATTAAAACTTTAGTAAGGTAACCTGTGTTACAAATAAATTTAATTGATGACCTAGAGTAGAAATATATTAAAGGTTGATGAGTTGTTTTGAGGTTCACTCAATTCTTAATTTAGTCTTGAACGTCCATTCAAATAATTAAGTGAAATTCTCAATCCAACTTCGAACGCTCAGCCACTCTAATATTTTAGGTATTATTATAAATTTTGACATAGATTTTGCATAAGTGTAAATGCAATGAAAATTTCAATGTTTAATTCTTTGACTAATCTCTAGTCCTTTAAATTTGCCAAAAAAAACTTAATTTGGTTTATAACATTAACAATTCACCAGTTTGATCCGTTTTATTTCTGTTTTCAACTAATTTAGGTTTTTTTTTACTTTCTTGGCACTTTACATTTGGAAATTCTCAAGTGGACTTACTTTGATTCAAATTTTTAGTTTTTTTTTTTTATATTTGAGTGAACCACAAAACAAATCATCAACCTTTAATATATTTTCACTCTAGGTCATCAATTAAATTTATTTGTAACACAAGTTACCTTACTAAAGTTTTAATCCATTTCAGATTATTCTATTAATTTTGGCCGTTAAATAGTGACGGAAATCTATTTTTCAGATGTTTTTGGGTTTAGGGGTATTTTTGTCATTTTTTATTTTTTTATTTTTTAATCTTTTAAATTTTATTCTTTCTTTTTTTTTTACAATTCTTCTTCTTATACTTCCTAACTTGTAGTATAATTCTAAATTTTTAAAATTTATTCTCCTTTTGTATTTTAACTTCTAGATTATAAAATTTTTTAAAAACATTTAAGAAATGAAGAAGAAAAATTTGAGTTAAAGTAAACATGAAATTAATAATTTACCATTTTAAACAAAAAAAAAATTAAAATTATTAGTTAAGAAAAGTTGTTTCTTCTAGGTTATTTAATTTTTTCAACTCGATTGAATTATTTAATTATTATTTTCACGTTTCTTATTCCTTTTTTTTAATAATTTACAAGTTAATATATAAATGACAAATTAATTTTCAAAAATGAATTTTTTTGTCATTTGTATATTAACTTCTAGATTATATAAAAAAAGGAATATGAAACGTGAAAATTAATAATTAAATAATTCAATTGAGTTGAAAAAAATTAAATAACCTAGAAGAAACAACTTGTCTTAGCTAATTTTTTAAGGTTTTCTTTTTGTTTAAAATGGTAAATTATTAATTTTCATGTTTACTTTAACTCAAATTTTTCTTCTTCATTTCTTAAATTTTTTCAAAAAAATTTTATAATCCAGAAATTAAAATAAAAAAGAAAAATAAATTTTTAAAATTTAGAATTATACTACTAGTGTATACAAGTTAGGAAGAATAAGAAGAAGAATTGTAAAAAAAAAAAAAAAAAGAATAAATTGAAAAGATTAAAAAATAAAAAAATAAAAAAATGACAAAAATACCCCTGAACCCAAAAACATGTGAAAAATGGATTTCCGTCACTATTTAACGGCCAAAATTAACAGAATAATCTGAAATGGATTAAAACTTTAGGAAGGTAACCTGTGTTACAAATAAATTTAATTGATGACCTCGAGTGGAAATATATTAAAGGTCGATGACTTGTTTTGAGGTTCATTCTTTATATTTTCAACAAATTAAAAATTATGAAGTTACAAAGGTACCCTTTTTGACTTGACCCATAATTGATCAACTCGTGAATTCCCAAATATAAAATACAAGTCCAATGGATCAAACTAGTAAATTAATGATATTATGGACGAATGTAGTCTTTTAACAAATGTAAAAGGCCTTTTGAGTATTGTTATTATAGTTATTTTAAAATTTTCAATTTCTACCATCATTAATTTTTTTTTTTCGATACAATGAAAGAGGCTGAAAGACCTAAATTACTAAATTAATTTCCCGTCGTCATAAGACTCACACACAGTATTAAATTTTACAATTTAGGCTTCAAGTTTTTACTTTATTTATGAAACGGACCCTAAAAAGGTGATTAAATTAGATGAGAACCCTGAACTGCGATATTGTGCGTTTTAACCCTTCCCGCTCCTTTCTGCCTAGCTACGCCGCGACGGCCACAACCGCCGCCGCCGCCTTGAGACCGTTAACTCGCTGGGATTTTCTTTCTTTAGCATCATCTTCTGGCCTCGTTTTTTCTGTGAGTTCTTTATTTATGGCATTGGATAATTGATTTCAATTTTACAAATAGGTTGCTTTTGAAGTCTATTCTTCTGTATGAAACTGAACGTTAGTCGTGACTCATTAGCTCTTGGGTACTGCTGGTTTATCCGATTTTTCAATTTTACCATTAATGAATCCCTGCAATTTTGCTGCTTAGTTGATTGATGGCTGATTTTCTTTAACTTTCGTGGCTCCTTTGATTGCTACATTTCAATTGTAACTGCCACGTTAGGGTTTGTTTGCCTGTGAGTTTTTTAATTATTTTTATGATAAAGGATAACTGATAAGGATTTGTTTCTTTTGATTTTGATATCAGGAAACTGTTTCAAAGTATAGAAGGAAGGCATGAGTGGGACGGTGGAGAAAAGCTCGTCAGCCACGAAAACCCCGGCCGATTTCCTGAAATCTATTCGTGGGCGACCTGTTGTAGTGAAACTGAACTCTGGTGTGGATTATAGAGGTCAGTGACCGGGTTTCACTCTCCTAAATGTTGCTGTTTGTTTCCAGTTTTGAGATTTGTTTGCCGATTGGCTTTTCAAGTTGTTTGGATGTTTTTATTTCCTTGTGGTGACCCTTTTTTTGTTTACGCATTCCACTTAGCTTTAGTCGCTGCTCTGATTATGTTAAGCTAGTCGCTGCTATGATTATGCTAAGCTAGCATGAGCTGGTCATGCTGAATACCTTAGTTTTCATTATTTGATTTTCTTCTCTTTTTCTCTTCAATGACTACCCGAAATTACTTTGCACGCTTGTTTCAGGATTGCTTTGACTTAGGTTAATTAAATTCATCGTCTTTTTCATGAAAATATAGTTGATCAATGATGTTTCATATATGGGTAAAATTATTTCCTGCGAGAACAAAATAAATTAAAAAATAGGAGAGATCGATAATAGCTCCAATGAGAGCAGAAATCTTAAAGGTATAGAATGAGTGGAACATGAAATGTTGCAGATTTGGGTGAATCAAAAGGGCTACTGTCAAGAAAAGAAGGGAAAAAGGTTGCTTGAGAAGAGTTCTAAAAGATGAAGTATGTTAGAGGAAAGAAGAATAAGGTTTGGAGGCGACTATGGTGTAGATGAGGGGATGAGTGATATGATTGACTGTTTGTTCTTGTTCCTAGGACACATGACATTGTGTTTTTGAATGATATGAGCGTTATAGGGAGTTGAATCTCTCTGCTTTATTCTTGTTCTTGTTTAGCCTTTCATCAATAAGGCAAGAAGAAGGCTAGGAGGTGGGAACTAAGGTGTAGAAGAGGAGATGAAGTGATATGATTGACTGTTTGTTCTTCTACCTAGGCTAAGTGACATTATGTTTCTGAATCATCTGATTTTCCTAGTGGAGTTCAATCTTTCTGCTTTATTGTTGCTTTCGTTTAGCCTTCTCTTCAATGAGCCATGTTACTTTATCTGAGCTTTTGAGATATTGAGGAGACAATTCATAAAGAATTTAGCTTGGATCTTGTCAAAGAACGCGGGACGTTGACACTTAATTTGAGTAAAATTCTTTGGTTGTGAAAAAATGAAACTTATGAGTGTTACAAATACTTATAAACAGTTACCAGAAACTTCTTTACGGCTCAGAAAAAGTTAAAACGTGTTTGAGATGCATAAGCCTTTGTTTTGTCCTTCAGATTAGGTTGAGATAGAAACTCATTAAATTATTTTAAAACTACAATCTGAATTTCTTCTTAACATATGAAAGCTTTCGGTAATGAAAATGGTAAAAATGAAAATACTTATGAAAAGAAGTAAGATTTTTGGTAACTTTCTTAACATATGAAAGCTTTCGGTAATGAAAAGGGTAAAAATGAAAGCTTTCTTAACATATGAAAACTTTCTTAACATATGAAAAGAATTTCTTCTTAACATATGAAAGCTTTCGGTAATGAAAAGGGTAAAAATGAAAATACTTATGAAAAGAAGTAAGATTTTTGGTAACTTTGTTAGATATTCTCGCATTTTTATTGTTCTATTTTTGCCCCTTGGACCTGTATTCAGATTTTAAAATTGACAAGTCTAATACTCCATACTTAGAGTGACTGTCATATGGCATTCCTTGGTTCCCTTTCTTTATCATTATGACATTGTCAAATGTTTGATAAACAGGGATATATTTGTGCAGTTCAAGAGATCTGAAATGTCCAGCAGCTTCTCCCTCTCTAGTTTTCTTGAGCATACTTGCATTTACACTACCCTTGCCTTCTGTCTTCTTTACAGCTCTTAATCCTATTGACTTTTTGTGCATCTACCTGCCTAACATGCTATTTTAGAACTTGGTCACCTGTAACGTGCATTACATATCTCTTGTAGGCATTCTAGCTTGTCTAGATGGGTACATGAACATTGCGATGGAACAAACAGAGGAGTACGTCAATGGGCAGCTAAAGAACAAGTACGGAGATGCTTTCATCCGAGGAAATAATGGTAATTCTAGATCAGTTCACCATTCTTCTCAGTATTGATGTCAAATTGTTGTGTTTTATGTGCTATTTCATCCGAGTAACATTTAAGTCTCTTTTGGTGCAGTGCTCTACATCAGCACATCGAAGAGAACTTTAGCAGAAGGGGCATAGTTGGACTTTAACAGCATGATGAACCTGATAAATATCTTGTATTGAGTCGGATCCAGTTCTCTGCTAACTAAACTGTCTCCTGTTTGTAACTTTTATATGGTTGGGACCTGTTTTGATGTAGAATATCATTCTTCCTGCGTATCTGGATTTAATGTCAACAGTACCAATATTGTGAATCTATTGACATTTGAGTGCGTTTATGTATTCTGGTAATTAAATTTTGGAGCTTTTTTCTATTTAGATTGTAATATTTGCATTTCAGAGTAAGGTATGAAATATGTAACGTAACTATGTCTATTACAAATCCCCATATTACCGTCAGTCTTTTCTTTCTTTACCTTTGAACCAAAACTTCTAATCGACGTTCCTTACCTTTTTGTGGCTGTTGGTTTGATCAAGTTTCTTGGACTTGGAATTTTGTTTTCTCTGAATAATCCCACCGTTGGAAATCAATGTGCGTAATGTAATCCTTTTCTTTAAAAAAAAAAAAAAAAAACCCTCGACTGACTAATCAAACGGCTTCTTTGATCACATCGATTCAGCTTGTCTACTTTGATCGATTCGGCTTATTTGCTGAAATTTACTCAAAACCTTCATGCTTGATTATTGGCTTCAAAATACTTGTGGGAAAAAAAAAAGTTCTAAATGTTAACTACCTTCCCATTCCGATAATAACAATGATAATAACTAGATGTTTGGCCCAGGCAGATGCCCGGGCGCCCCTTCTAAATTACTATTTTATTAAAATCTAATTGAATTACTATTTTTTGATGAATTAATTTGGCGTATATATCATTTATGCTATGGTTTGAGGCTTAAAAAAATGTACCTATAAATCTGAGGTTATAAGGGAATAATAAATAATTAGTTTATAAGGCATTATTCTTAATTACTGGATTTAGGTATTTTTATTTTTTGTTTATATTAATCCTGCAAAACTATACGATTGGACATTTGAATTTGAATTAATATATCCATTCGTTTGAAATGTAATTGATCCTTATTTGTAGTAAAACATGTGTTTTTTTTTTAAAAAAAAATTATGTAGCTTGTAATTAAAAGAGAGTTACACATGGCAAAAAAACTCCTGAAATCTGAAATATGGTGCATTGGAGCCAAAACAGATGCATACTTAATTGCCACATAAGCTTCATGTCTTCTGCTTTAATAGGGTAATAAAAGGGATAATAACATTTTTAGAGTACTTGTGTTTTCTCTCTCAAAATAACAATTTTACTATTTCTAGTATAGATACGTATCAGAACCCTAGCTAGCTAATAAAGTAAAAGAGTTCTGGCTATTTTTGTAATATATATCTTACTATATTAGAAACAAAAACTACACTTTAGAGAAAGTACCACCATTTGCCATGTGGCATTTCCACATCATATTTTTAAAATAAATTTTTATTTACACATCTCCTAGACTTAAAAGGCAAATGCAGTCCAAATCCACCTTCACCTCCTATTTTCGCCAAAAAAAAAAAACCACGTGTTCATAAAAAATCCAAATCATCATCCCCATCTCCACGACAATCGACTTCCTAATCAATCCCTTCTCCACAATAAAAAAAACAAATTTCTCATCAATCATCAATTGAGAATATGTGGTGAATATACTCCTTTCCTATTAGCATGTTAAATTTTTTCATTGGTGATGATCAACTACATCCTAATCTGATAAAATTTCGAGTTCAAAAAATATTCTCTTTACCTCACTATATAAAACAAAGGAAAAAAAAATTCTCATTGATCTTGCTTCGGCCATTATGGTGGTGCCATTATAGGTATTAAAATTTAAATGATTTTATTTCAGCAGATCATTTGTTTGGCTTTTATTATTTTTTGTTTTTCCCGTTCAAGAATAGTATTATTACTATTATTTTTATGCGTTCATCCGTTACAGCTACCGTATTCGCTGTTAGGTAATATGATGTGATTTCTTATATGGTTAGTTAGCCTAGAATTTTTGTATGATTTTAGTTCTGTTTGTATTGAATTGATTAATTGGGTTTTTGTTACAAAGTGTGGTTTTTTAAATTTGTTTTTTATGTTTCATTCAATTAGACTGATTTTCTTTTTTTAATTATGGAGTATCAGGTTTTTTTTTGTATATGGTCAGTTATGAAGTGTGTTTTTTCTTTGTTTAATTGCTTTTGATTTTATTTCATACTCCCAGTTGACCAATTATTATTATTTTATTTTATTTACAAATGAAATGCTTTTTTTTTGTGTTCGTTCTTTCAAGAAAATACTTTTTTTTTGGATTTGGTTTTTGGACTTTTTTTTAGTTCCTTATCATATAAATAGTTCAGGTCGCTTCTTCTAACTAATTTATGGGGAAGCTTTTTATGAATTTGAGGTGGAGAGGGAAGGAATGATTTTTCTACGTTTATTTGTGTTTTTATACATCATTTTTACCTACAGAAAAAAATAAATTTCTGAATTTTTAATTGGCTATCTTTTACTCTTTTTTTTTTTTTAATTTGCCATGGTGAGGTGAGTTATTTTTTGCTATAACTTGAAACCTATGTAAATTTACATTATTTTTATTCTCATATTTGTGATCAACCAGTTTCAACAATTAACCAGTTTCAAAATCATATTTTTGATATTTTACTACCTATAAACTTTTGGAAGAAATAGTTTCAACAATTAAGCGTATACTCTTTGGAGGAAGCTTACTACAAAGCTATTATAAATCTCCAAAACTAAGTATTGATTTGGCACAACCAATAGAGAACATCAATAAATTATCTTACTAATATTTAAACTTATGAGGATGCTTTTATATTTTGTCTTGCATTTATTTCAAGACATATATTCGATCAAGTTTATTTATATTTAAGAAGTAACACTTATAAAACATTTTTAAAATCTTCAAACATTTCTAAAACGTACCAAGCCAAATACAATTTCTTTTTACGCCAAATACGAACATTTCTGTGATCACACTTATAAAACATTTCTAAATTCTTCAAACATTTCTAAAATATATCGAACCAAATACAAAATAGATTTTTTTCAGATACAAATATTTCTAAAATCTACAGATATATTGGGCCAGGGTCGCGCATTGACATCACTGGTATATATATAAACAAAAGGCCAAGATCATGATGAGAATTGGAAGGTGTTTAATCTTGTTTTTTTCATTTATTTGACCAATCCTATAAGAGTACAGACCTGAAGTTGGTTAAAAAGTTCATCTTTCTACACTAATCAAATTACTCGCATACCAAAGTAAATGAAAAAGAAAAAACTTTGAAAAAAAACAACCCTTTTCAAGATTAGTTTCTAAAAATTATTTCAAAGGTCAAGAAGTATTCCGTGATAAAGGAAGAAATAAAGAAGGGAAAAGAGTGCAAATTTTCACTTATGTCTCCCGAAATTACAATTAGTATAGATACGTATTAGAACTCTAGCTAGCTCAAAAAATAAAAGAAATGCTAGCTACAATAATAATAATAAACAAAAGGCAGGAACACCATGATCATGGATTCATGGTAGATTGGAAGGTATTTAATCTTATTTTTTTCATTTGGTTGATCAATCGGGTAACAGTAACAGATCTGAAGCTGGTTAAAAAGTACATATTCCCACACTTATCAAATCCCTCATAAAATAATAATAATAAAAAAACTATCAAGAGTAGTTTCTAAAAACAATTTCAAAAGTCAGGAAATGATAGACAATTGTATTTGGTGATGAAGGAAATACAAAAGAGGAAAAAAAGAGTGGAAATTTTCAGTTTTTTTCTTTTAACATTACAATCATATAGAGTATTTTTAATATCGATACATACCAGGTTTAGGGTTTAGGGTTCAGGCTAACTCAAAAAAGTAAATGAATTTCCAGCTATTGTTGTCAAAAGAAAGCTTGAAGATTATGACCATGGAAGATTGGAAGTTGGAAATTGGAATAGCTTAAAAAGTTTGTCTTCTCACACCAATCAAACAAACCAAAGTTTGTCTTTTCGTTTTTTTTTTTTTTTTTTTTTTTTTGTTTTGGACCAGGGTGCATGACAATATGTTAATTCTACGAGAACTAGTAATCATACTCCATGATGCCATTCCAAAAGTTTGGATGTAGTCCTTCTACGTACATATCTAGAGAATTTTGTTTTAGACTTTTATAGTCTCCTGAGAAAAATATCTATAAATCTAAACAAATTGCCTTTTAAACTTTTCGTCCCTAAATAAGTTGGGGATAAAATTATCTCACAGAATGTTCATTTTTAATAAATTATAATTAAATAAAATATATCTCTTTCCCCCTCCTCCCGTGCATACTACAAATAGGAAGTAGGTTGTTCTCCATCACTTTATTTGTTGGTTACATCATTATTTTTATTTTTTTTTGTGATACGAGAACTTGGTCATCATATGGATATTTCATCGCTCGGTCCGTAATAATTTCTTAATTATATTTATTTTGTTGTGCTCCCTAACTATATAGTACTCTAGTCTAGAAGAAAAAAGAATCAAATTCAATTAGTACACAACTGACATTCGATCATCATTTGAGGTTAACAAAAGTTTTTATTCTTAAAGCAACCATAGTACTTAAGAAAAATCAAACCAAACCCCATTTTAACAGTATAATAGTTTTATTTAATTTTTTTAAAAAATAGTGTTAAAGATATCAATATTATTGATAAAAACAATGAAAAAAAAAAAAACCTAGTGATGATCGATAACAACACAAATGGTATGTATATCTAGAAGATTTATTCTGTCATCAATGAAATAATATACTTAAAAATAATTTGTTATCTCATCAAATCTGCTAATCCTAACAATTTGAGTAATTTAACATTGTTAACATTTAAGAGACCATAAAAGCTAGATATGCAAATCAAATAGGATCAATAATTATAAATCGAAATCCTAGCTTTAAACACATGTTAAATGACTATAAATTGGATAATACTTTTCTTGGTTACAAATTAACGGGAAATAAAATGATATAGTTTCACTAAAAAAAAATTAAAAAAATATGCGTGAGATTTTACTAGCGAAACATATAGCGTACATTAAAATTGAAACTGAAAATCTCTTAATTAATCAGCTAACGAACTTCTTCCTCCTTTAATTCAATCTAACACGCAAAGACACGCAAATGATGATTTGTTTGTGTACATTGTCCTATGTTTTCTTCACTTGCAATTCCTCCACCCCCACCAATAATCCGTAATGTCTATATATTAGTATATGTAATCTTTATATTGTACTTGTAAGCAAAGCAAAACCACACGCCCAAATAATACAACACATAGCCACAAAATTCACACATAATTATTCATTGATTAATTTGGGTTCATAGTGTCATTAAGTTATTGCACGTCACAAAATAAGAATATCATTGTTATTACTTTTCTCATTTCTTGTAGAAATTAACAGTAACTAATCAACCAGGTAGTACATGCTAATTAATTAATGAATCATATCTCTCCAATTATAACAAATCAATTAAGAAACCTGTTGATAAGGGTCTTGAATTCTTGATTGGAAAAGATCACTTCTAAATGTTAAAAACGTTAATGCATAAACGCATTTCCGGCAATTGAGATCAGCAGTTACCATAGGTTAATTGGAAGGGAATTGTTTTTGTTTGCTCTCTTATTTTTTTTCATTCTTTTTTGCACCAAAAAAAAAAAAAATAGAGAGAGCCAGCCAAGAATTCCTTTTCTTCAACAATGCATTCAGCTTCTGATCATCATCATCATCCACCGACCAAACATGGTAATGGAAAAATGGCACATGATCATGATCATGATGATGATATTGAGGTGATCACGGAAGAACTTTTACCAACAAAGCAGCAAAAACCTCCAGAAGGGCATTTAGGAAGAAAGCTGATGAAAGTGAAATATATGGAGTGCCTCAAGAACCATGCAGCAGCCATAGGAGGACATGCTACAGATGGATGTGGAGAGTTCATGCCAGCCGGCGATGATCCGGCCAACGGAAAAGCAACCGAGCAAGCCCTAAAATGTGCAGCTTGCCAATGTCACAGGAATTTCCACAGGAAGATCACAGAATTAGTAGTGGATGAATCATCGTGTCATTATTTTCAAAATGGTAATGGTGGTGGTCGTGGATTAGGTCATCAAGAGGAGGGATTCGGTACTTTTCGCGCGAAAGCGCGATTATCCATTCCGAATCTCACATCAAAGCAGCAGATTGAGACAGCATCCAGAGCCACAATGGCAGCAGCAGCAGCAGCAGAGAAGGTTGATCATCAACATGAAGTGAGGAGAATGAGATGCAGGACAACATTTAGCAAAGAGCAGAAAGAAAAGATGTGGAGATTTGCAGAGAGGATAGGATGGAAGATACAAATGTTGGAAGAGTCAGAAGTGAGCCAATTCTGTCAGGAGATTGGGATCAAGAAAAGGGTTCTCAAGGTTTGGATGCACAACAATAAGCGCAATTACTTGGCCAAGAAAAAAGCTTCCATTCCCCACAATTGACTTTCAAATTCTCTCCATGATTCAGATTCTTCTCTTGTGCTACATATTGCATTAGATGCAAATTTTTTTCTCTACTCTTTCTTACTACTCCCTCCGTCCCATAATTATTATCCAGTTTGGGTTTCCATTTCTAGTTCAAATTGTACTAGAAGTGAAATCTCAAACTGGACAATAATTATGGGACAGAGGGAGTATTTCTTATCTTAGAATTCAGACATGCACCTTTCATTCGTTGATTTCTCTTAGTTTGTTGAACCATCAACCACTGATCTTATCTAAACCTACTTCATTTCTTGTTTTTTTTTTTTTCATTCTATATTTTTATCATCCCTTTGTGTTATGATCACGTTTAATTAGTTGATCTGACTACTAGGCTGTAATTTAGATTTTTAAAAAAATGACTATTGCATACATTAATACTGAAGGAAGCAAAAAAATAATTAAACAAGATAAAGTCTAATGGCTACAAGGGATGTGAAACAAATAATGGGGGTAAAACTTCATTAGCTAAATAGTTTTTATATACTCACCTATCCAAGAAAAGATGTTTATCTTGAGTTTTGACATTTGTAAACTATCTTTTTTTGGGGGGGACAAAGGGAGCGTAAGTAAGAGAAATGAGCAAATCATAATGCATCAAAAATAATTCTTCTACGAGCAATTTTGATAACATTGGGTTCAATGGTACTAATAATATTTTTTTTATTAAAAAAAGAAAAAGAAAAAAGCGTACTAATAACATATGCTTGTATCTTGCAAAGACATCTCCTTCGGTCTTTCATTGATCAGTATTGCCATTGAATATCCCATATGATGTAACATCGTTGACTATATATTTTCCAGATATTTTGGTGAATTATTGGGATAGGGATGTATTGTTAAGAAAGAACTTTCTGTGAAATCTTCATCTGTTTTTTACAAATTAGGAAGGGATCCCATAATAAAAAACGAAGATTCCGTATCACGACTATATATACAGGACATAAAATGTTAAATCATAATAGTAATAAAAAAAGATTAAATAATTTCTTCCATTGATAGAACACAGATCGTTTACACACAATAAATGAGGAAAAAATTCCCATGTAATAGTGGTAAAAACCGTAAAAGGAATAGGATATGGAAAAATAATTGGTGTATTTCAATTAAATAGTAACATATCACAAAGGTTGAGGCCTTAAAGGCTAATTAAGTACTACCTCCATTCACAAATAGATATCGCTGGAGAGATTTCACAAATTTTAAGAAAACAATAATTATCTTGTTAAAATACTATAATACCTTCATTTACTCTTAATACAATTATAGTCCCAATAACATTTAGTTCTAATACAATTCTATATTAAATATCACTACAGTTTCTAATGTAAGAGTAGTATTGAAAAAAATTGACAAAATTTGTCTCAATTTGTGAGGACGACATCTATTTTAGAATATTTGATTTTTCTTCTAACAACCTCTATTTGTGAATGGAGGGAGTACTTGACTATCAATTACGGCTATGATTTAGAGTTAATTAGCTCAATATATAATGACAGATTTTAGGCACTCATTAGAGCCCTTCATTGTTAAGTAAACCCAAAAAAATTCATTTTCTTTTTCAATGCCTGATATTTTAAAAGTAACAGATCGTTGCTAGCTGTGCCTGTTTTACTCTTTCCTTAAGTTACAGAAGTTTGGGAACGGATTATTGACTCATTTTAATCTTTTTAGCAGGATTTATTAAGTAGCCTTTTTAAAATCCGAGAAGGTACAACAAGTAATCTTTGCTCTTTGCCCTTGAAAAAAACACATTTTTTTTAAAAAAAATATATAGTAAAATTTTTTTTATTCTATGTAAAATGCATAGTAAATTAAACTTCTAAAATGTATCATTTCTGAGTAATGGGAAGGTTATAAATTTGAAAAATCCTACCCACAGTTAAATCATTTGTGAGTAATCACAATTTTAAGGAGAATATATCTATTGTACTTAATTAAAGCAACATATAAGAATGACAGTTAAAAATTTTCGCGCCAAATGTCTTTTTTAGTACTACAAAATAAAAATTGACACGTAAATGTGTCAGAAAAAAGGATGGCTTAGGAATCAAAAATACATCAGTATACTAATATTTATTTATTTCACAAAAAAAATAAAAATAAAAAACTCAGCCAATTTAAATGAGAATAAGGTAAACAATTAAATCCCAATCTTCGCTCATGTTTCCCTAATCTTAGCATAGGATAACATTAATTTTCCCATTATCTTTTCCATTCAATTAATAAAATAAAACTTCAAAAAAATTTATCACCCAAATCATCTGGCTCTCTCTCAATCCACAAAATTCAAATCCCCCGTTCTCAGAAAATTCAATCTCAGCAATATGATCCCTTCCAATCACTCACTCTAAAATTTCTTCTATTTTTTTTTCCAGATCCGACCTCAACATTGCAGCAGAACGGCCGACCCCTCAAGTTTCCTCCGGCCGCTTCGCCGAAAAATAGAGCTGGCGGCAACAGGCAGGAAATGGCCAAACAACTATTTCAACATCTATTTGTTTCAGAGCACAATTTCGGCGGCAGGCTAAATCACAGGATAACAATCTGTTCATCAATTTTTTCTCTATCGGATATATACTCGCCCCAAGATTCAGCGATGTAAACATTTTTTTCCTAATATGTAAGTTATTGATCTTTATAGTGTTGATGTTTATTCGATCAAAATGAACTTCCTACTTCAAGTTTTAATCAAAATTAATCTCTACCTCGCACAATCAAATTATAAATTGATAGTTTTATGTCAAATATTGGCTGGTTGAAGAGGTAATACAGTTTAATGATTTAGGGTTTCGTTTTTTTTTTAATTTGGCTGCAAAATGTAGCCGTCACCTTTGAATGGGTGTTTGATAGATACTCCACCATCATCAATTTCGTTTATTTTCTCTCATCAGACACGGGTTGTGTTTGCTCCAATTTATTCTTCTCTGTAAAGAAAGAATCCCCAAAAGAGAACAACCATTGTTGTGGCTGAACGGGATGGTAAATCGGCGGCTGAAACAAGCCGAAACATTAAACCCTTTGGATGTGACTTATGTTCTAACTTATATAATGGATATTTTTGTTTGATTATTTGCCGATTAAGATGATATTATTTTTTTTAATTATCGGTTCAAAAATGAATCCAGTTTTAACATGAGCTTCATTCAATTGCAGCCGCAGGTTGGCTCTGTAAAGGAGCTCAGACTTGCGAGGCTAACAATGTGTGATGCTGAGGATGTTATCTAATTTTGGAGAGAAGCCTACCATGTCGATTTCTTTCTTTCTCATAGGTAAGCAACTGACTTTTTCCCCTCATATGGATTCGTTTTGTTAGATCATCCATTCCTTGGAATAATCGAATCTCACTGTGGTCTAGAGAAATGTTGTTTATATGGTAAAAAACCATTTAGGTTGATTTTATACAAAAAAAAAAAGGTGCGAATTTATATATGTACTCTTTTCATTCTTCTTTTTTAGATGAAGAAAGATGCCGCAAAACAAACCCCCTCAGCAAGAAAATACAAGAAAGTTTTATTGTTTTAGGTAAAGTTTAGTCTTTAGATGTTTCGGGTTTTTTAAATCTTACAGCACTTTTGCATGAGATGAATTACTCCATATATTGAGACCTTAAGTTTTGAACTTTTTGTTCATTTGCCAGTTGCACCAGTGTTATATTTGTAAGAAATCAAGCAATAACTTCTATATTTAATTGCATTTTTATAGTTATAAACAGACTTTCAAATTCATATGGGGCTGCAATATATGGATGCATTTATGAATCAATGGATTGTGAAAATAAGATCCAAAGTAGCAAATTCTTCAAAGTCGATGTTTCAATTTTTTTTCTTTCAAATAAACGTTTGTTGTATAGTTGTTTTCATCAATAGTTTTCACCATTGAACGTTTGCTATGAAGTACTATCTATTAATTTGAATTTTTTCACTGAGCAATTCTTATTTGTTGTAATCTGTTCCTTGCTACAGACTTTCACTTTTAGATATATTTTGGAGGTGTGCTTGATAAAAAAAACTCTATATTGATGGGTGAATATTTTGTTACTGACAGATGAATAGCGCCAAATGTTACAAGGATTGTTATTTAGAGACAAAACAGGGTAAAACACTCTCTGCCTCTATTACTAATTTCTTTGATTACCTTTTATATGTTCGTATCAGGTCCATTTACCTCAATGTTTTCCAAATCACTGACTCAGAATTTGGTAAATTTGGTGACAAGAAACATCGATTGGAGATTCCAAATTTGATGATGATGCTGATTGCCCTTTTTGATTATGCTAAATGGCATGGCCCAGAGATCCGTCCAGCATATTAGAGGATCCCGCTCCATGCTACGATTTGATAATGCATACATAGGCAAATGACTATTATTTCTTTTGTGTAAGCATCAGATTTTTTTTTTGTCATATGGGTTCATTCCATGATAGATCACTGATTGTTAATAATTTGTTATTGTTCTTTGTTTGTCTTATTAAATTTGCTTTTCAGATATCTTAAAATTTGTTCTTTGTTTCTTTATATTTTTTTTCCTTCAGGTTTATGTTGATTTGCTAATCTGCGTTTGGTTTTCTGACCAGAATTGGGATAATATTGCTTGATTCTTTCCAGAACCCACAAGAGTTTTGGGTGCTTGATTCTTTCTAGAACCGAAAAGAGTTTTGGGTGCTTGATTTTTATTTAATTTAGTTGTTGTTGCTATTTTATTCATGTTTGGGTAAGTTAAGCTGATATGAGACCTTTGAAAACTCTCAGTTTAGGATTAGATAGAGTACATGTTTAGGTTGAGAGAATGTATGAAATTTCATTACTGATCGTTTCATTGTGATGTCAAAACAGGCAAATCAAATCTTGGAGCCTTCTTGGTTACTGGATCCCTTATTGCCAATGAAGATGTTGTTATTGAGGCAGCAACAACAGAGGTAGTGGTGTTAGTTAGAGCCGTTCTTAGAGTTAAATTAAAATTGCGTAACTCCTTGAATTATGTTCAATGTTATTATTTAACAAGGGAGAATTCTTAGTTAACTAATGTTCGGGCACTATATTTGCAGTGGCAGGAGTAGTCAAGCGTGTTATTCTATATAAGGGTTTTGACGGGTTTCGATTGATTCTTCAGCACTGCCGAGACAAAGAGGCAGAAGAAAGATGTGTTTCGAAGAAAAGTATATGAAGCTATAGCTGTTATTATTCAATTCCTAAAGAAAAGGGGAAAAAAAAGTATTAACATCGACGAAACTTGCTGACTTTTGTAGCAGTTTTGGATATCTTTCGCATTATATTTTATTACTATCTTACTGCCTATGATATACTAATAAGTCAAGAAATATCTGAATAATTTAGGTCTTTTTCCATTCATATTAAATTTTTATTCCAGAAATGTACTTCTCTTCCTATCCTTGCATTGGTGATTGATTTAACAATTTTGTCCAGGTGCTTGATAAAAAGATCACCTACATTATGACTCTCCAAATAAAACCATGTTAAGGCCATATTTTGATAATTTTATTATCATATTTATCATGATAAAATATATGTGATTTTTTTTAATGTTATTGCATATTATATTTTTAAAGTTACATAGTTTTATAATTTGGTATTTTTTTTATTTAATTTAAACATAATATTAAAGCCGCTCGGGCATCTGTCCGGACCAAGCATCTAGTCTAACATTATGTAAAAACACAACCCCAAGATTATCTTTAATTGAGAATACCACTTATTTTTAGTTTAACTTACATAATAAAAATTATTTTAAGGTTTCTTTTTCTTCTTTTTTCAAAAATTATTTACGTGTTCTATTTAATTAATTCTTCATTCTCTCAACGGTCAAATTTCCACATATTCCCAAATTATTGCACCCGTCAAGTATTTTCTTTGGTTATTGATTTTATTCTATGTTCATTTTCTTTTTCTTTCTGATTATTTCATGGCTTAAATTTTTTTAAAATACAAATTTCACTCTTTTCCTGGCAAATTTCGCTCTTAGTTTCTTCGGTAAGAGTTGAAAGTTCGTGTTCAATAAACCTTGCAAGGATTGAACTGATCCAACGGAAAATCGGGATTGAGCAAAGCAATGATGGAAATTAATCAACAGTAGGAGTTACTCCACCATCCACATGTACAGATGTTTTGGTTTTTGCCGCTCTCTTTCTCTCTCTCATTCAATCCTAAATTTCGGCCTATATGCTTTTCTTTTTCTTGTTATTTTTGCAAAAAAAAGTAAATATAGGGAGATTAGTGAGGATATTTTACGTTTAAAGCTCTGCGTAACTGTTGTTCTTCCGTTTCCGCATGAAGGCCTACTTCGAGCAATTAAGGAGCTAATGTCTAGAAATTAGACGGTTAAACTCATTCATTCGCACGGAAAATGTAATTTTGTGGCTGATTATATGGCTTTCTTGGCGGCGACGAATCCGACGGGATTAACTTATATGGATTCACCTCTACCAGGGCTTTTTAGTAGTTAAACCATGATATTATAGGGGTTGCATACGCTAGACTGATTGTAATGTAGCTATATATGTAATAATGCCAGTTTAGCAAAAAATATATATATATAATTAATATGTGCTGTATTCAAAAAATATCATAGAAAGGCTTTTAAATGAAAAAAGAACTAAAATTGAAAATCAATGCGTGAACAGGCAGACATGGCAAGGTTCTGACAGGCCCAACCACAAAACAGTCAGCTCGGATTCTAAAGATCAATGGAACTGAAACTAAATTACGTACAGATGGTTCTGATTACGGTTCTAAAAGATTTGATATTCTCTTTGGTCCACTGAAATGAAATCTAAACTGGACAAATATTTTGGGACTGGTTATTTTTCGACATTATTTTTGTATTGTTTTCTAATTTTCAGTTCTTTTTGGGCAAATTAAGCAGCATCCCACACAGAAACCCCCCCCCCCAAAACCAAAGTTTACTCAGTGTCATTAGTTTATGATTAATTAGTTTGGAAGAAAATCTTTTTCATCCGAGATTAAAAGAGGAAAAGCTTTAGAGTATTGAATTCGATGAAATGTTTATAGGAACGTTCAATAAGAAAAACCCAAGTTCTAAAGATCAATGCAATGAACCTTTCTTACTACCCCTTGATAATTCATCTCAAAGGGATCACCTGAAAACACAACCTTACTGAATGGATTACTTGTATTGAACTCATCAGAAGCATAAGAAGAAGCAGTCTCAGTATCAGAAGAAGCAGCTTCATCCTCCCGCCAAAACGTGATTCATAATCAGGAGGCTGCATCTGTTGCACATGGACAAGTGGTCCAGCATCAAACCACACACGGAAGAATGATACATCGGGAAGGTTGTTATGATCTAGCTTGGCAGAATCCTTCTAGAAACATTATACCGCCAAGTCATTAATCTTCAAAATTCAAAGTGCCTTGAATATTGATCATTAGATTAGATTGGATTAGTTGTACTTAAACAGTGGAGATTAGTTGTGCTTTCTGATAGTTTGCAGGAGCTAAGTGTATATATACATGAGGAAAACCAGTTTTGGATAATGTACAGAAATTATACACCACACATTATTTTGTTCTTCGGTTTCTTCTTTTCTTGATGATCAAGTCTTCAAAATTCTTGATGGTATTAGAGCAGGATTAAGCCTGGTCTGACCTTCCGCTGCAATTTTTTTTTAGAAATTAATCTTGATTGCGTAGTATAAAACCTAAAATCTTGATTCAGAGATCAAGAAGAAGGAAAATACGGAGTTTCTTGATTTCTGAAAAACAGTCTGATAAAAAGAATGGAGAATCGAAGGGAGATTGATCCGTTGATTGAAGAGCAGTTACAAGTACATGGATCGGAGAGTCCAGGAACTCAAATTGTTTCGGTGCTGCTGACCAACAAAAACTATTTGATATGGAGGTGTGCAATGATTTCGGCATTAGAAGCTAAAATGAAAGTAGGATTTGTGGATGGTAGCTTCTCAATGCCAGCAGATGATTCACCGATCATATTGAGGTGGAAAAGAGCTAATAGCATGGTTTGTTATTAGATTAAGAGTTCTATGGATCCAGATCTGATGAACCAGTTTATGTTCATACATGATGCAAGAAAATTATGGAAGAGTCTTGAGCAACGTTTTGGTAAGACTAATTTGCCACATCTCCTTGAATTAAAGAGAGAAATTGCTTTGCTTAGACAAGGAAATATGCCTGTATGTGATTACTTTGGGAAGATTGAGCAAATTTGGAATCAGTATGAGGAATTGAGATCAACTCCTGTGTTAGAAGGAGAAATAGGAGATCTGATTGTGGAACGAGAAAATGAAGATCGAGTTATGGAGTTCATGATGGGATTGAATGATGTATATGAACCAGAGAGAAGTCAGATTCTGTTCATGGACCCTATACCCTCTGTTGATAAGGTGTACCACATGATTACAACAGTAGAAAAATACAGGCAAGTCAGTTTTCACATTGCTGCAACTTCTGAAAACTCAGCAATGATGATGCAAGAAAGTGGGAATTCAGCATTACTGGCACGATCTACAGGATGGAAAAAGGATTATCATGGTAGGAATCAAGGTTCACAAGGGACACATGGGCATCAGAAGGTTGATAAAAGTCATCTGTTGTGCACACATTGTAACAGGACTGGACATATCGTTGATGACTGCTTCAAATTGAAGGGTTATCCAGAATGGTGGCCTCATATCAAGAACAAGAAGCCTGGTTTCAATTCTGCTAATATGATAGAATACCCACAGAACATTGGAGTGCAAAATAATCCAGTAATGAATCAAGGGACTTATAGTCAGTCATACTCTAGTGCAGGATCAGGAGGAGTTGTGCCTTATAATCCAGGAATGGTGAAGAATGTATCACAGTCTTATAACAATGGTGGTGTTAGTATTACTCCATTGGAATTCAGTTCTGAGTCAGATTCTCATCAACAAGCCTTCAACATTGCAGTACAAAGGGAGGTTGACAGGATCAATAAGGGCAAAGGTGTGATGAATTCAGCAGGAGGACCAATGGTGAACATGGCACATTTCCATGAGTTTGCAGGTATTACTACTTTTGCTCTTAGTTCTTGGTTGTCTGATGAGATTGGTACACATGCATGGGTAACTGATTCAGGTGCTACACGTCATATGTGTGTAGATATTTCATTAATGCATAATGCTCAGCCTTTTCAGTCCTTCACACTAGTTTGGTTACCTGATGGTAGCATTAAGCATGTTAGCCATTTTGGAGATGTTAATATCTCTGAATTTGTCACTTTGACATCGTGTTTATATCTTCCCAGTTTCAAATACAATCTATTGTCAATGAGAAAGCTAGCAAAGACTTCTCATGTGTTTTTCCAATTCTATGCCAATTTTTTCCTGTTCCGGGACCTTAAAATAGGCAAGGTTCTGGCAGCTGGAAGAGTTATCAAGGAATTATATGTCTTGGATTCTTATTCTTTCACTCCATAAGCCATTGCAAGATCTCAAGAACTTTATGCATCTTATGTAATGTCTCTTAGATTGCCTAATAGGAATAATGTAAACTTTCAGACATGTAATCATGTTTCTGCTATACTACCATTTGATATTTTACATTCCAGATTAGGACATCCTTCTTTAGATGTTCTGTCTCACTAGATGGCTGCAACATTCGATTTGAGAAAAGCTGTAAAGATCATCAGTGTGAGATTTGTCCAGTTTCCAAACAACATAGACTTCCTTTTCCAATTTCAGTCAGTACAACAGAACATTGCTTTGATTTGATACACATGGATGTTTGGGGACCATTTCACCAAGCAACCAATTCCGATTGTCATTATTTTTTGACCATTGTAGATGATCACAGTAGATGTACATGGACCTTTCTTTTTTCAACATAAAACTCAAGTGCCTGTTCTGATAGAAAACTTCCATAATATGATTCAAACACAATTCCAAACCATTATCAAGATCATCAGGACTGATAATGGAACTGAATTTCTAAATCAATCTTGCCAAATTTTTTTTAACCAAAAGGGCATTATCCATCAAAGGAGCTGTCCCTACTCATCACAGCAAAATGGAATTGTGGAAAGAAAGCATAGGCATCTTCTTGATGTTGCTAGATCCTTGTTATTACAGTCAAAACTACCTAAAAGATTCTGGGGGGGATTCTATATTAACAGCCACTTACTTGATCAATAGATGGCCTTCTAGGATCTTGAACTAGCAAAGTTCATATGAAAGACTCTATCATAGTAAACCTGATTTGTCAATGCTTAGAAATTTTGGTTGTCTATGCTTTGCAGTGAATAATGGTCCAGGAAGGGACAAATTTGATCCTAGATCTTTCAAAGGGATTTTTCTTGGATATCCTGCTTGTCAGAAAGAATATAAAGTCTATTGTCCACATCTTGATAAAGTCATTATTTCCAGGGATTTTGTTTTCATATGAGACAACTTTTCCTTCTATAGTAGAAGCCAAATCTGTTGTTCCTTTACCTTCTGTGAATATTCCTGACACAGAAGAACATAACTTTCAATTTTTTCCTCATACTTCCTCGCCTTTCTCTTATATTCCTTCACCTGATCACCCTACAGACAATCTTTCCTTTTCACCTATCCGGACCTCACAAAACAATCCTGCTCCAGCTTCACCTTCTCCTCTCCCTTTAAGAAGAAGTGATAGAATCAGAAAACCACCTACTTCCTTAGATGATTTCTACACCTTTCACTGTAATTCCACACCATCTGATGATTCTTATTCTGATAGCACTTGTGTTTTTAGTTCTGCATACAATGAGTTTGTAGCAAACCTGTCTGTTACACATGAACCTGTGCATTACAATCAAGCTAGGACAAACCAAAGATGGGTAGAAGCAATGAACTCAGAACTGAAAGCATTGGAAGACAATGACACCTGGGAACTGACTGTTCTGCCTGAAGGAAAGAGGGCAGGGGATCTAAATGGGTGTATAAAATTAAATGTAATCCAGATGGATCCATTGAGAGATATAAGGCAAGATTGGTAGCAAAGGGATATACTCAGACTGAAGGGGAAGATTTTAATGAAATTTTCTCGCCAGTTGCAAAAGTAGTAACAGTAAGACTTCTCTTTGCTATTGCAGCTACTAAAGGTTGGGGAGTTTACCAACTTGATGTTAATAATATTTTTTTGCATGGAACTTTAGAAGAAGAAGTGTATATGGATCCTCCTTTGGGTTATACTAAAGCCAAGAAGGGACAAGTTTGCAGATTAAAAAACTCTTTATATGGATTAAAGCAAGCAAGTAGGCAGTGGAATAAGGAATTTACTTCCAGATTACATGAATATGGTTTTAATCAGTCTTATCATGATTACTGCTTGTTCACTAAGCTCATTGATCAGTTCCAGCTGTTACTCCTTATTTATGTGGATGATGTGTTAATCACTAGTACATCAGAATATGAGATTCAACAGGTTAAGCATTTTCTGGATAATGCTTTTACCATTGAAGATCTTGGCATTGCAAGGTATATCTTGGGAATGGAAATTGCAAGATCTTCTGCTAGTATATATATCAGTCAAAAGAAATACACTTCTGATCTTCTACAAGAAACAGGCATGTTGGATTGTACTGCAGCTTCTACTCCATTTCCTGGTGGTTTTAAGTTTATTTCTGAAGAAGACAAGGATGAAACTCCTCTCTATCACAATCCTGAGAAGTATAGAAGACTGGTTGGCAAACTATTGTACTTAAACTATAGCTGGCCTGATCTTACCTATGCAGTGCAGCAGTTAAGCCAATTTGTACACAAACCTCATGATTCTCACTGGAATGCAGCAGTTCATGTATTGAGGTACCTTTCTGGAAGTATTTCAAGGGGATTATTCTATGCCAGTAACAATGTTCCTCGTCACAGCCTACAATGATGCTGATTGGGGATAATGTCGTACATCTAAACATTCCATCACTGGATCCTGTGTGTTCTTTGGAACAAGTTTGGTATCTTGGAAAGCAAAAAAACAATCCACCATCTCATGTTCCTCAGCTGAAGCTGAGTACAAAGCTATGGCTTCAACTGTAAGAGAGTTGCAGTGGATCACATACATGTTACAAGACTTTCAGGTTCCATTGCAGCTACCAATCCCTTTCTTTTGGGACAGCAAAGCAGCTTTGGACATTACGGTCAATCCGGTCTTCCATGAGAGGACTAAACACATTGAGATCGATTGCCATGTTGTTAGAGACAAGTACAAAGATGGTTTCATTCTTCCACAACATGTCAGTTCATCACAAGAATTGGCCGACATCTTTACCAAGTCTTTACCTGTTGCTTCCTTTTCTTATATTCTGTCCAAGTTGAGTCTGTGGAACGCTCAACTTGAGGAGGGGGTATTGAACTCATCAGAAGCATCAGAAGAAGCAGTCTCAGTATCAGAAGAAGCAGCTTCATTCTCCCGCCAAAACGTGATTCAAAATCAGGAGGCTGCATCCGTTGCACGTGGACAAGTGGTCCAGCATCAAACCACACACAGAAGAATGATACATCAGGAAGGTTGTTATGATCCAGCTTGGCAGAATCCTTCCAGAAACATCATACCGCCAAGTCATCAATCTTCACAATTCAAAGTGCCTTGAATATTGATCATTAGATTAGATTGGATTAGTTGTACTTAAACAGTGGAGATTAGTTGTGCTTTCTTATATTTTGCAGGAGCTAAGTGTATATATACATGAGGAAAACCAGTTTTGGATAATGTACAGAAATTATACACCACACATTGTTTTGTTCTTCGGTTTCTTCTTTTCTTGATGATAAGTCTTCCAAATTCTTGAACTTGGATATACAAAATATATAACACTATTGGGTTCATTACAACGATGATCACCAGTAATTGTACTCAACTTCTACATTTGCAGCGTTTAAAAGAAAATCCGATTGGACATAGGGTATAAACTCTACAAGTTAGGGTCCATTTAAGGCAGAAAGAGGTCATTTGCACAGAGAGCAATGGTTTTAGATTTACCAAAATGCAATTAGCAACTCAACAACACTGTCTCCACCATTTGCTTTGGGCAGAAATCCAGTTGATGGTCTTCATGTGTAGGTCACTAGCCAGCTCCTGCAATTCACTTTAAAATTCTGTATCGAAGCAAGCAGCCAAGACTTTGGAAACCATGGACCTTGCAAAAGGGATGTAGCTCAAGCTATACCTGCAAATAAAACCATTGACGCCAATAAGTTGTTTGGTTACAAGATAGAATCAAGACCCCAGATAGCCATTGTCTGTCCACACATGAAAAAGAAAACATTGCAATACATCTAGATGCGCATCATGTTAAAGTTCTCTTTGGTGCTTAATTAAAGAACATATGCTAGATTGTTACAAGGAGATTTATAGTTAATGTTGAGGAATTTTCATGGAAATATACAGTAGTGACTCTCTGATGAAGAATTCACAGGATTATCCCAAACTTAGTTGCTCAGGACTCGATGGAGGGAAAATGAGAGGATAAATACATCATTTGAATTATTCCGGCTTAGGTTTCAAAAATTTTCATTATTAACGAGCATTTGAAACACAGCCAATATATAGCAAGCGCTTCCTTTGCCATATAATCTCGCCTGGTGCACCATGAAACTATTCAAGTTCCAACACACATAGACCACAATAGGTAGTTGTGCGAATTTATTTAAATGGTCATAATCCACACATAATGGCCATACTGTCACTCAACAGAAAATCATTAAACAGATAGCTGAGAAAAAAAGCTTTTGCTTACCAGATAAGTGCTCCGAACTCTAATGAAATAGCCAGAAATGTCAACAACTTGTTCCTTACCTATATTTGTAACAATATACATCAGTTTGCCAAAAAAATAATATATATATATATATATATTATGTAATTGGAGCTGGAAAATCATTGAAATAAATGCAATAAAGATACCTACATATAATGCAGCAAACAGAGAAATGATAATGCTGGCAAGATATATGGCAGTTGCGTAGATCCGGACAGGGTCAACCATCATTGTCATCTGCCGTTTGGGTCCAATAAGAAATGCTGTGCTGTCATCCAGAAAATCATAAATTAGCAGCTAAGCTCCAACATTAAATAAAACAAAGCGTGAGTGCATGTGTGCGTTTGTGTGAGAGAGACGAATAAAAGCAATAGATAACACAAAACCAGAACACACAGAGATACATCCAATGTTGGGTTACAATCTTTTACTACAAAATGTAAGATATATCCACAAAAGTCAACGTAATCTAACTCAACTACAAAGTGGAAAGAACTTTTACTCCAACACAAGATCAGGCAGAAAAAGCAATCCTAAACAAGTGAAGAGGCAAGGGAAAGAAGGGTGAACCAAAAGTTTGCCAATCATGTACATGCTAATGTATAAGGCTACCAAGTCATGAAGGTGAAGATCACATAACAACTTCAATATTCTTCAAAACCATTTCTCCTTGAAGGGGCGCGGCAAAAAAAAGAATCAACTCAAGAAACCACAACAAACCTTCCAAGCGCCAGCAGATTGCCCAAGGAGAATGTTATTCCGAATTTGATTGGATTGAAGAAAACAAGCATGGACTGAAAAAGGAAAAGAACCAAATTACATCTGATATTTTCTCTTGCTCATGTTTATTACTGAAAACAAAAAGTTAAATTTGATGTCAGCAAACTAATCTATAAAACAATAAAGAAAACACGAAGAGACAAAATTTATCTGGAAAAAGATCACAGAGGAATACTTAAATGTCTATCAATGATGAATTCCGATTGCTTCCAGACAAGAAAGCACAAACAAAACACATATGTATGTTCTGCAAGTCATTTACAGCCAAGACAACCCAATCAAGAACAACAAAAACATCCAATGGATCTGGAAAGTTATTATTGTCCTAGCCACTTCTACATCAATAATCTAACCACAAAAAAGTCAACCTGCTTCAAACAAAATGCCATGAGTCACAAAGGTAAAACCACCAGTTTACATCAATGCATGATCTATGTTTGTATCAGCCAGTAACAAAATGTATCGATGATGCACGCTTCTATTTACGTCAACAAATGACAGAACCATCATGCAGAATCCAGTGAAATAAGTGAAAAAGTAGAGTCATAATGCACCCTGATCTGAAAAGAATAAGGCACAGACGCACAGCGATACTGCTTATTGACAAGTGTAGCATCTAAGGGATGTAACAGCTAAACCTTAATAACCACCTTTAATTCACCAGAAAAATACAGCGGTTAGTGCTTCAAAAATCGCCTTCAGTGTATGCATTAGTGACAAACATCCATAGCCTATGAATTGCCCAGATTCACATTTAGACATCCAAACCAACTAAATCTTTAAAAATGCATAACTGGTTTGCAGGAAGGATATCTACAGGAAGAGAAAAAACAGAATAAGATCAACCATCCTAGCATCTAAACCTTCACTAACTGAAATTTGCTCAGTTTGCTTTACACATTCATAATGAGATAGTTAGGTTCTTTCAGGAGCAAGGAAAATTCATTCTCATTAACAGTATCCTACATATGCCACAAGTTACCTTCATAAATCAAAATAGCCTGCGGATACATTATTTTCACCTTGTATATTTTATAGGCTCCTTACATTCATTTCTACAACTCATGATCACAATGTCACAAAAAATCTAGGAAAGTAAGATTGTCAACTCACATCCATTTTCAAAGCAGTGTTCACATGTATCTTTGTCGCTCATCAATTGTTAGGAAGATTAATTTAATTTTGTACTCCGAAATCCAGATTATGATGCACATCTTGAGCCCAAATTGGAGGCAATCTAACTTGTCTACCACTGTAATTTACTGCTCTTTTGACTCCTATGTTCAGGCTAAAAGTTTGTTGTCGAATATACAAAAGTGGCAACTATGCAAGAGCAAACAATAAAGCCATCTAAATAAAAGATAACCAAAGAAGGAAGCTGAGAAAAGCATGCTAAGACAGAAGAAAATGGAACACAACGCAGAACTTACCAATAGTGTACAAGTTATCCCAGAAACCAAGCATATGATAAAACCATACAATCTCTGTTGACAAAAGCAAACACAAATCATCAATAAGACCAAACAAGTGACTAAATACATTCAAATTGTTATGCATTTGTCAGAAAGGGAATCAATCGTACTTGAAAAAAGTTCCCACTATTGAGACACTAGTGATTCACTAGTGATTAATTGTATGTGATTGCATAATATATCAACAGACCATTAAAGTGACGGCAGGAAAAGAATAATTCAAAAAGGAAAACCACTCAAGGTTCAAAGACGAAAACAACCGCTCAGTGATACTTCACACTCTTTACATTTCAAAAACATAACAACGACGACTTAGCCTTTATCCCACCATGGGTTTTCAGGTATATAGATCAGATGTGGAATCATGCACTGGCAGAATATATATTTACATTTCGATTAATTCATTCAGCATCAATCAATTGGTTCAGTTCCACTTTGTTTCTTCATATTTGTTTAGATGATCTTGCACTCTCCCCAATTTGTTACTATAACAACTATAAGCAGGGTATGAGGGTAATGCCACACTTGGATCGACTCTTCTACAGTGATCTTCCCCTAACTCCGCCTCTTTAGCTTATCATCCTTCACAAAACAAGTCTTCCCTTGAAGGCTGTATGGTGGTCCTTGACTCCCAGAGTAAATATACAGATAACAAAAATCCTCATAAAGGGCCTATTCAAAACTGGATGAATTTACTAGTGTGGAACAGAGTTAGGGACAGTGAAATTCATTTTTAGTCTTCTTAATCACCTTCAATCAATTTGGAATCCAAAAGATCTTCCTATCATGTTTTCAGTTTCTTACGATCGACCAATCAATTTGGTCAAGCTTCTACTTATTTTCTCCCAATTTCTCTACAATCCTGAACTATACACCAATTTGTTCCCACAACTACACGACGAAGGCACAATATTAAGCTGATCCCATTCATAAAGTACTAAAACTAATAGGAACTCAATGTAACCCTGAACTCATTTCTTAAAACCCGCAAACTAAACACACACGGAGAACTCCATCAAGACAGTGAAAACAAAGGATAAGGAAACAGAGAAGGGGAAAAAAATGGTGGTAGCCGTACCTGCTTAGTGGATAAAGTACAATTACGATTGAAATCATCTACAAAAGCAAAAGAGGAAGAGGAATCATCAGGTTCAGCTAGTGATTCCTCGTCAGCTTCCATTCCCACCAGCATTTTCATCTTCTCAAGAGCCACATTCATTTTTTCCATGGTTCTTTTCCTCCTTCTTTCGTTCTCGCAAAGGGAATTGCAGGTGTTTGTTGAAATGTTTGCTTCAAGATTCAGAATAATCAAATTCAAAGGTTTAGTTTTGGTGATCCATCACACTTTAGTACTAAGCAGTGATGAGTAAACCCTGCCTTCGGGCTGGATCTCGTCGGGTTATTTGACGGCCCGAACAGAAAATCAAGAGAGATTATTTTCCATTTTCCTTTTTTTAAAAAAAAATCATTTTTGGTCTATTTTAATGAATTCTTGCTACTTTGCTAGTCCCATTTAAAATTAAAAAAAAAAAAATCATTTTTGATCTATATAAGATGGATTCTTGCAAATTAGCTCGTGCAAAAAAGATTGTAATATTATACATATAAATGATTGGGAAAAAATCTAGAAAAAAAAATAATCAAAATAATGTGAGAAATTATATAATTGATTGGTACAGTAAGATGAGACGAAATTAGTGGTTGGGAAGATAACAAAATAATTAATTACATTAGATAATTTTTTAGTACAAGAGATTTCAGAATTTGTCATCATTTAACGTTAGAAATAATAGAGCTATAAAATTGAAACCTAAAAATTAAAAAATTAAGATTTTTTATTATTCAATCTTTCTAATTAATTTTTTTATTTTAAATACTTAACATACACTAAAGGCCTACCAAAATTGGGTGCCTAAAGTCTAGCTTCACTAGCCTTATCTTAGTTGGTGCCTAAAGCCCTAACTCTACTAGCCTTATGTTAGAGCCACCCCTGTTATCACAAATTTGAATATATATACAAGGTGGATTTTTTTTTTTAGACATAGTGTTTTGGTTTTAGTTTTCTCAAACAAATTTATTCTAATTATTATTATTATTAAGTTCTTTATTCTAATTGTCATGAAGTTTTCCCTACATAGTTTTTCTTACCGTGTGTCCCTTTTAGATAAACTTGTTTACCATTCAAATGAAAAAGAATCCAAAGGTAAGTGTGGAATGGCATATGAAACATTCCACTTTTAACATTGCAGTGCTGAATTTCAGCATAAAGAAGGGTTCATCCTCCAAAAAGTAACCGAACCAAGCAAATAACCAGATTCATCATTATGTTCATCAAAGCCTCGGCTACAAGTGCTTATACAGCAAACACAATATAATTACACGTCAAAGAAAAAAAGATCAAGCAAAGACAATACTCACTCTTTACTACATGCATTTTTTTCCATATTGCAGCAATAGAGTAAAGTGTACGTTAAAGATAGACAAAGCTCAGTTTCCGTTGCACTCAAGCCGAAAAGAAAATAAAGCCACCCATAACCATAGTAGCACACCATGCTTCATATTAGATGGGGTATCAGGTGCTAGACACGAAAGGAGCATCGACATAATGGTCACTGCAATAAAGGCCAGGTCGCTGAGTGAAGCCTTGTCGTTTCAATAACTCCCTCGCCTTTAATACAAGCTCCTGATTTGTAATTTCACCATCTGACTGGGCGATTATGATTTGAATAGCATTGCTTAGAGCGCCATAAGATTCGCTCGCATTACCTTGAGGGGTAGCATCTGCAGATGTTTGATCAGTTTGGCAACCACTAATGAGAATGCCACTGTCAGGCAGTTCCCTTTTGGTTGAGCCGGCATATACCTCCTGCTTGCTCTCGACTCGTGTTTCTAGTGCAGGTTTGGCATAGCCCTCGTCATTCTCCTCCAGCTTCTGTGCCAAAAATTGCTGCGCCAAATTCCCAACCATCCCCATAAAACCACCACTAGACTCCCCTCCAACTCCATGCCCTTGGAGTTTATTCATGATTACTTTCATAAACTTTTTCACCTTTGGACTTGCATCGTCTCCAAAGATGTCAAACAGAGTAGGTCTCAGCTTCCCCACATCAATATCTTCCTTCCCAGTTTTCTGTTTAAGTATGTCAATGAGCGTAGAGAGCGGTAATGATTTGCTTTTGATTCCATCACCATCTCCACCTGCTTCCTCTTCGTCTTGTTCCTCCCGCTGGTGGTGGCTACTAAATCCGTGAATACCACGGGACTCCAGCGCATCTTCTACTTTTTTATGTAAAAAATCCCGGAATCCAAAACCTCGGTCCCGACTTTGACCCTCATCTCGATCAGCATTTGAATATTTCTTAGTGCTCTCCCCAATCTGTTCTTTGGCCTCATCAATTAAGCCTCCACTGTGGCACGAGTCTGAAACAATTGTGATACGACAACCTTCTGGAATCTTTTCAACTAAATCTCTGAAGTCATCATCTGTGGTAAATGTAAAACAAGCTTCATGAGCTTCAATAAAATTCCAGTAATTAACTCATTCCAGAGTTAAAATTCAGTACTACAAACAAAAAACTCTACGCCAAAATAAAAGTACAAAATGATACATATATTGGAAACCATAAATACGAATCATCGTTTACTGTTTACGAAGCATGTCCAAAAGTACAATCCAAGCTGTCCTATTTTATTCTATTCAACATCTAAATCCAAATACATTCCAAATCAGTATCTCTGGCACAGAAATAGTTCAAAGCACCATTTGAACTTACACTGCAGTTTGAAAAAAAAAAAAAAAAATTATACTGCAGTTAAATTAAAAAAAATTTGCATCTATCTTTACCTTACTCCTTGGGCTAGAGTCATATAATATAACCAAATGGCAAGCTCAAGAGGATCAGGGAAAAGTAAATGCAGCTAAGGCTAATCATTCTCACATAAGTGAAGTCAAGTCAGGACTCTTTCCAATAAAAAACTTAGAAAAAAGATTAAGGTGATCATCTCCTCCCATGTTTCAGAACATTCCCTAAATTTGGACAGTTCCTGCAATTAGGTTACTCAGTCCAATAAACAAATAAAGTAACCTGATGTCCTCATTCTGGTAGTACCTAATACCCAAGTGTTACTATTGTTCAGGATCACAAATACCAGGAAGTAAAAAACAACTGCTACCCTTGGCATCTGGATTGCTTTGTTTTCCTTGTTCTCACACCCCATCCCTTGGCAACCACTTCTAAAAGGGACAAAAAACGCTGATTTTGAATGTCAACCAAGAAGTTAATCAAGGTCCATCCTCAGTCAATTTCAACACTTGGAATTACGGAACAAGTTTAGCTACCATTGAGGGATAAAAGTGATCCCATTCTGGCATCAGCAATTAGCAGAATCCAATGTACGATTCTGGTGAGAACTAAGCAATAAGTTTGAATTTGAGAAAACTCGGTGCCCTACTCATTGCAACGTTGGAATGGAAATGGATGGACTTACCAAACTCCCTAAACAAAAGCAACCCACTAAAGTAGATGGCAAAGAAACAGCCAACTCCTATTATCAACCGAGGTATGACCAGTTCTGGTTAGATCAATTAAAAAACAACCAAACTCCCTCCACTGCTCATCTCATATTATAACTTATAAACACAAGATCGATTTCATTGCTACCGAAAGCTTATTGCAGAAAATCTGAGACAAATGATCCTTATAGGTCAACTTAAACATCATAAGATATTGATGAGATGTTTGATCACAGTTTAACACAAGAAAAACCCACAACAACGACAGAGCCCTCTTTCAATTACGTGGTTTTACATCTTGTTCTAGGCGGTTGCACAATTTCATCATGAAATATGCCGCAATTTCAAGCTGGCCGTTGACCTTAAGCAACCCTCCAAGAAGAAATGAATGTTGGCGAACCTCATAAAAACACAAAACGAGCAACGAATGGCTAACACTTGAAGATCAAGGTCTATGTCATACGTAAACATAATCAAAACAAAAGGAACAGGGACCAAATGAAAAAGGTGATCCCAAATGGGTGGGATTGTCGGAAATGTACCTGTGATGAGATTCATATCACAAGGGACGATACACTCGTCATAGCCGGTATCATCATCCTCGCCGGTCTCAGCCGGAAGCCGGGTACCATGTCCACTGTAGTGAACAAAGAGGAAATCTCCGGAATTGGCAGAACCCACGAGATCGGCAAGGGCTTTCCGGATATTACGGCCGGTGGGCTGAATGTAAGAATCATCAGTGTCGATCAGGACGGTGATATCTTCATCGGCAAATCCGAACCTTTCAATCAAACATTTGCGCATCCGACGGACATCGTTGATGCATCCTTTCAGCTCAGCCTTGGTTCCCGGATAGTTGCAGCCGATTAGAACAGCCTTCCTCGCCATTGATGATGATGATGATCGAATCGGGCACAAAGATATTACAAATTATAAGAGTGAGGTCAACACCGGGGAATTCGTAAAGGTATAATTTGCTGAGTTGGGAAAAAACAAAAAAAATGACAGAACAGAATAAACAGTGATTAGGTTCATTTGCTTTGCTTTTGATATTTGTTTTTCATTTCAATAATAGAAGAAAATTTCAATAACCTATAAAATTTGGATCTGATATTGACAACGTGGAATGTGTATCTTGAGTATCTCAAACGTTGGATATGATATTTTTTAAGTTTTAACGTCTGACTTTTTTTTGGCTTTGAATTTCTCTATTTTAACCAGATCTTATGTAGGGCCATGTAAATTGTTCTGCCGACACGTTTTTACTATTGCATGCGAATGTGAATTGATGTAAATATTGAGATTACCGTACAATTAATTTGTTAAAAGATCTTGGATTTTCGTTTTCCTTGTCTAGTTTAAGTTGAAAAAGATTTTTTAAATCTTCTTTTAGGTCGGACTAGTCTTTTGGTATTGCGCCAGTCTAATTTAACAGTTGTTTACTTCATTGGTTTTAGTGTATAATAAAGTGTAATGATAGGTTGGTGTCTTATGAATATTGAGTTATTATATGCGCCTCCTTTTTTAAGGAATTAATAAGAGTATACAAAGAAGAGTAACCGAAGAAGAGTAGTATTTTCAAAAAAAAAAAAAAAAGAGTAGTGATTTTGAAGTATGAGACATGGTGACATGATTCCAAGCAAAAAGATCCTTGATATCCACGAGAAATGTAACCGAAGATGGCATTGATAAACTTAACCAGAGAAAGAGTGATGTACTCACGAAATTTAAAGTTTCAGGAGCAGTTCATTAAGGAAATCGAAATGCCAGTTTGATATTTTTTATCACGGTATCTCAGACCATGTCAATCAAATTACCACTAACATGACAGCTTTAAAACTCTACTTTTCACTAAAAGAAACTTGAATAATTATTGATCAGAAATGAGCCCTTCAATAAGGTTGAATCATACATACAAAAATTAAAAGATACTTTCTTTCACAGAGATGTGCTTCAATGATGATGCACCAGAACCAGAATACAGCTGATACAACAGGGGATATGCTTCTTTCCCTCAACCATGACATTGATACAGCTGCTTAAAGCAAGTAGTGACATATTTCTGTTGGCACCTTCAAGGGATCTAAGTGTCCTCTGATCAGTAGCGAGAGCTCTTTCAGAACCAGCAAGATCAATAAGTGAAAGTTTTTCAACTTGTTGAATAACCATGTTGGAGGCATCTTTCACTCTATATTCGACCAGAACCAGAATACAGCATAAAAGAAATGGAACGATCAAGTCATTCTGAAGTTTCTCCACTTCTTCCAAGTGCCTGTCTTTCTTTTCTTTTTTTCCTTAAGGTCTTTAGTTGTACTCTTAATTTTTTGGGTTAAGCGTGTTACCTCCCATTCAACTTAAGCATCTCTGGTTGCTGAGCATGGAGAAATGATGATGGTGAATACACTCTTAGGTCTTAACTCTACCATTGAATCAAATAGCAATCACAACACTCTTAGGTCTTAACGTTCTCGTATATAAAATTTTTGCTTTAACGGCACATTTTAAAATCTCTATAAAATGATACACACTTAGGAATTTTTTCAGCCATTACAGATGCTCAAACATCACGAAATAGTATCAAATAAAAAAGAGAACATGTAGAAAGGACAAGATACATCAGTTAATAAAGTATAAGAATCACACTTGAGCATAAGCAACAGTAAAGATCGAATGCTACTATTGAAGAGCTAAAAATGAAGAAATCAATACCTGAATGTCTGGAAGAGTTTTCTGAATATTACCAATTGCTCTTGCAAGTGAAAATGTTTCTCAGCTTCCTTTTTATGTTCCTTTTTTTTTGCTTCACTTCCAACTTTATTGTCTTCTTCTTCCAGCTTTATTTCGTGTGGTTCTGGTATTCGGTTCTAATTCCATTGATGAAGTAATGCCATTACCTGTTACACGATAAAAATGTGGTTATCATGAGATTTCTTTTGAAGCAATAACCAAGTGAATCCCCTGCTTAGTTGAAGGGTATGGACAAGATTACCTCATCTGTGGTGTATGCTCTATATTGGGTGAGACCAGCAGCCACTATAACCTGAAATATTTAAAAATCTACATTTTAAATTATAAAGAATGATGAACAAGTTTCCTACATATGTTGAGTTAAGTAATATAAATATATGATGATAGCTGATTGCCAAAACGATCATTCAACAATTTTCTTTTCCCTTTTGTTCAACAGTTTTGTCTATTCATTTTCAAACCGAAAAATATTGAACTCCTTTTTGCAACAAAACATAAAATCAAAAGAGAACTTATTTAAATAGGAGGGACCATGCCTTTAAAAACCGACTTAGCATCTTTTGAATTTGCAGCTATCCCATTTCCACAGCAGTTGAAGCTGTAAGTTGGTTATGCCCCGATTGCATATACACGGGTGCATTCCTTCGCTACAAAATTACCAACACATAATTATGCATGAAAACTATTGTTAATCAAAATATAACCAATTCTGCATCTTTATTCTCTATTTTGCTGCTTTCAGGTTCTTATTTAGATATATCTTTTCGTTCCTAGAAAGTCTACCTTCTAGTGTTGAGGTCATAAATCACCCAATTTATAACATTTGACGTTATTATATCTCAAAGGAAAAAAAAACAAAAATAAAGAGGGGGAAACATGACAAATTGCATCAATAGCAATGGCACTGAGCAAGGAAACTAATCTGTCTGCATAGAAAACCAGTAGAAATCAAATCATCAACATGCAACGATGGTAAAAGAAGAAAGCAACAAAAATTCCCAGGTTGGGTACTTTAAAGGACAATACAGAAATACATACGCCAAAATTTGAGCTACCCAAGTTACAAATTATAGAAGTAAAATCATCAGAATAAAATGTTCTCAATGAGATAATATATATTCGCAAGAAATCATAGAGACAGAGAGAGAGAAAGAGAACCAATACCAATGTTAATAGCCCATTGATGAGGTCGACGGCGGAATTTGAGTATCACTTGAACCTATGCGGATTCAAACTTGTAGAGACTTGAGATCAAATTGATATCGTTGGCGATGAAGAGAAAGCTGAGGAAACTCACTACGCCATTTCCACCCCCTCACAAGTGCAGGCTGATCTCAACATTTTTACAGCAAGAGCGCAATGTTTGTTGAAGCTAACTCATGTCTTTCCACTCTAGCCCAAGTCCACTGAAGTAATGCTTTTGAAATTCTACTATATCTTCATTCCAGACCAACCGTTGAACCCCGGTTTTTCCAGCATTGTAGACTTACATATAGGAAAAAAGAAAAACACTCATCAGCAGGGGCTGAATACACCCATTGTCCCACTTTGTTGAACAAAATCAGAACAACAAAGTGAGCTATTAAAAAATTGGACGTAAGAGAGAGATGAAACCATAATGGACCAACAGACCTATCTTCCAAGTATATATAAACGTGTAACAATGAAAGTGGCCAGAGGGTATGACAAACTTACCACTGACATGTCTAGAAGTTTCATGCGCACGATATGCAACAACACAAAGAGATCTTTTGGCATACTCCTTAGCTTTATCCTCAGACATAAACTTGATATCATCAGAGGGATCTATCCTATAGATAAACCAGGGGAGAAAAAGAAAAGTTAATGAAAAGAGTAGAGTAAAATCAAGCGCAATAAAAAAAATTAAAGCAATCTTAATGCAGTGTCTTATGCATGCATCAATAAGTCCTTAATATTAAAGCAAGGAAGGTGATGACCATGTTTATGCAAAGTAAAATAGGGAGAAGGCATACACGGCATCAAATGAAAAACAGGCAGTTACAGCACATCCTGTTCTAGCCACTGAGCTTCCAAGCCGTTTTCCCTTACCGTTCACTTTATACAGGACAGGTCCCTACATAAAAACCATGATCAATTCAATAAGAGTCATAGGGAAAACCAAGCAGAGGAAAACATTCTAAATTTTACCAATTTCTTGTCCCACCCAGCGATCAGCACTCCAAGCGAGGAACTGTCATCGCTATCGGGTTTAAGGGACAGAAAGTCAGCCAACCACTTGGATGCTTCTTCAGCAGAAACTTTCTTCCACTCCTTGGATTCACGTTCGTGGCACTAAAACACATGTCCCATATGAATTACAAGGGAAAAAAACATGTCTCACATGAGATTCTTCAATGCAGACTCATAGAGGATAAAGGCGTCTGAACAAAAAAGCAATTTTCAGCAGTTGCAGCAATTTTCTAACCCTATCACCGCAGAGGATTGAAAATTCATTAACTAAATATCTATTAATTAAGGAATTACTAAACAATTACGAGATCCTAAGCTGCTTTTATAGTATTTTATTACGAAAACATTGCAATCATCTCTTCCAAGGAGTTTCATGGGAATCAATCTTTGAGTAACTTATCAAATTAGCATTCTTATCTAGACTTTCAAACTATTAGTTACCAAACTAAGCAACCTCACATAAAAAAGAACAAAACAAATAAAAACAAAATTGAGCTGCAGAAAATCACCGAAATAACTAACATCACAAAAAGGTTTGATGAAACTTTTGGTGTAAACAAAAAGAACTAACTTTCTCGATTCCAACAAGTTTAACTTACCTTTAGGATGAAAACATGGGTGAATAATCCCATTCATGTCCAAATACAAATTGTCAAACTCCATGGTCTCGTGACATCCACAAGCATGACGACACCGTTCCCGTGCTTTCTTGGCTCTTCCTCCACCACATCGACGATCGCTAACCGGTATCGATCCACCAGCCATATGTTGAATACCGGAACACCCATTGATCAACTTATCATATCAAAAATCAATTGATCAAAAAGCCTTCATAGTCGTAGCAAATTGTCATAATTTAAATACATCAAGACAATAGAACCATATCTAAGTAAGAATCGGTGGCAACAAAATTGGAGAATCGGTTGGGCGTAGCAGCGGTAGTGGGTGGAGAGAGTTTCCTTTGGATTTAGAGGAATTGGTCGGGGAAGAAGCGAGCGGCGATGGATGGCGCAAATCAATGTAGGAAAAATCTGGAAATTGAATCCCTCGATTGCAATCTGTAGGCTTGCCGACTCAGCAATCAGTTGCAGTCTATTGAATTCTTGGTATCCCTCCAAGCTTTGCAGGCCAGAAACGCTGCTTGCAAATCCGACTACTTCCAAAAAGTGGTGGTGGTCTGAGAGGCTGCTTCATATGCTCACTTAATTTTGGAGATCAGAGGCCCCG